AGGTCTGACGTTAGGCACCCCTTTCAGGACTGAATTGTGCCATTCTTACCAACATACCAGGTCTCGTCTCAGCTCTCCAATCTTGCCCTCCCCCCGGCCGGGTCCTATAGAAACTCTGCCTTTCCTTGTTACACTGCTCTTTATCCTCTTATCCGCCTGTGCCCTCCCTACTCTTCAGTCCTGCCCGTAGTTRTGATATCTCCCTTCTTGAGTCTTGGAAACCCCGTGCGTCCATCCTCCTCCGGCCTTCGTCTTTTTGTCGCTATCCCCGTTCCTCTTGTTTGCCTTTYCTCCCTGGGTCAAACTGCCTTKTCGAGGCTTTTCCTCTCTTATCCTGTAYCCTACCCCTCTTCTGACCCCTGATTTTGTCCTCTCTCTTCTCTCCATTTAAAGCGTAGTTGTGTACCTTCRATCTCWGCTATCGCCCCCTGACCCAGCGTGTTGTGTTTAAATCTTTTAATTATCTCTTCCTCTTGCCCTGGTTGTTGCCTTGTCTGCTGCCTCACTCTTTTCCACTGTGCATTGAGATGTACTTCCATAGTCTTGAGGAGCATCTCCCTGGCTTCCCCTCTATTCATTAACGTTCCTTCTATAGTGGCCTGACACCTCCTCTTCCAAATGATCCACAACCCGTATTGCCTCAGTAGCTGAAACATATGTCTCTGATAGGGTTGCATTCTTTTGGGTACCTCAGCCCCCAAAAGCCTAGTAACTCTTGAACCTGGAAAGGGAGTGTTCGCCAGCAGTTTCCGAATTCCCTTGCTCCCACATCACCTCCGCCTCCTTGCACTCCAGTAGACAGTGTACCAGTGTTTTCGGAAGTCCTTCTTGACACACTCTGCATAGCTCAGCTTCATGGCTTCTCTGGTTGTGACTTCTTCTTTCGTTGAGCCAAACATTCACTGGCAGCGCCACATGTGCTATCAGCCATTGCATGCTCCTCACTTGCCCCAGTCTTATTGACAAAATATTTTCCCATGGTATGTCTACCATTTGGCTTCTGGGGACCCCCACCTTTTCCTCCCAGCGCTTGAGTAGAGTAGGTCCCATAGCCAGAGATCTGTTCCTTAGCCTGTAACCTATTCTTGTAGTGTAGTGAAGGATGTTGATTCTCCTTGCTACTCTTAAATTGTCCCCCTCTAATGTTCCAGGCCCATTCACCAGGATCTACCTCTAGTTCCTCAATTGGAAGCGTTCAATTGTACACCGTAAACTCTTCCGTCTCTATCACTCTTACCTTCCGCAACCCCTGTTTAAGAATGTACAGTGGCGCTTTGGATGTGCTATCCAATTGAGACGTGGTATTGCGTGGCTGTATTATGTTGTATTTGTCTGCTACTAGCCATTCGTTCCTGTCTTTGACCGTATCCCACACTCTGTAGACCTCTTTAGGTTCTGCCTCATCTTCCCATGTGGCCCAATCCCCCTCCCGCCATTGTCTTTCCCCCCTCAACAACTGTACCCAGGTTGGATGTATGGAGCCTGTGACTACACTCAGGTTGTCCTGAAGCTTATGAYRCCCCTTCAGAATCCTTCTCAATTCGTCAGATGTTTTCCATCTGTTGTTCTTCTCATCCCAAATGTGTTTGATCTGCCATACCCCGTGCTCCAACCATCTGCCCCATCTCGAATCTCTACTTGTTAATGTTAGAGGCTTTCCACCAGTGTCTTTAATGCTTGYGTTGCAGAATAGCGGTTGCCTTAATACCTCCTCTCTTGTGGTAGGCTCTCTTACCCTCGCTGGGAAGACCTCCTTCCACAGCTGTATTAGTTGTAGCCAATAGGCCGAATTTCTGACCCTCCCTCCTTGTATTCCCCTACTCCCCTCCCTATGGCCTATTTTGGCCCAGTTGCTACACATAATCCAGAATAGCCCCGTCATGTTGCTCGGTGTTTTATACCTGGCTATCTGTCTAATCCCATCTAATACAATTGACGTCCATGGTAACCCAGGCTGTGATATTAGTTTGACCACCCATTTCGTTTGGAGCGCTTTCAGCTGTTGACTTGGGTCAAGAATCCCCAAGCCCCCTTGCCCTTTGGGTCTAGTTACCTGTTTCCAAGCCACCTTGGCTATGAAATGCTCCTTGTTGTGTTTTGCCGTCCACAAAAAGGCTGCGGCCTTTCTTCTAAGCTGGGCTGACGTGGACTTTGGCGGGGTCCAGATGGACCCCTCATACCACATCATGGAGAAGATTGATGCGTTCAAGATCAACGCTCTCCCATATATTGAGGTGTAGACTGCCGACCAAGCACTAAGCTTTGCTAACACCTTGGCCATAATGTCCGCCGCCATTGATTGGTGTGCTCCCTCTTCTGTTATTTCGATCCCTACATACCTGAACGGACGTTGTGGCGCCAACCATTGAAGCCCCTCTGGGCTTGTGACCGGAATCTGGTTTTCTGGGTCTAGTTCTGCTAGCCACCATCCCCACTGTTTTGTGCCAATTAATTTTCATCTCCGAGGCCAGCTGGAACGCTTCCATTGCCCTTGTTAGCGCCTGAAAGGAGGAGTCTGTTGCTCTGATCAAAACAGTCAAGTCATCTGCGAACAATATCGTCGTGGGGAGTTCGACCATGTGTCCTCTCTGGTCGGACGGTGTTATTAATCTTTCTATTGATGGATCTTTTCTTAGAAAAGAGGCTATTGCCTCCATTATGAAGAGAAAGATGGGAGCTGCTAAAGGATCTCCCTGCCTAACTGACCTTGACATCAAATAGGTCGGAGATAAATGACCATTAACCTGGACTTGCCCTCGCGCGTCGTTGTATAGGACCCTTATCCATTTCCTAAAATTTGGCCCTACTCCCATTCTTTCCATGCACAGCTGCAAGAAAGGCCAACTGACCTGGTCATATGCCTTTTCAAAGTCGAAAAAAAGAATGGCGGCGTTAATTCTCTTGTCTCTTATATACCGGACAGATTCTGTTAGGCACATAACATTGTCTAGTATAAACCTACC